GCAACCATGCGGAGAGGCGTCACCATATTCCTGCTCGTCACCATCGTCGTCCTCGGCTTCGCGGTACACAGCGTATGGACACTGCTTGGTCTTCTGATTGCGACTGGCCGCGAGGATGCCATTCTCCGCGGAGAACTCCCTGCGCCCAACTCGAGCGCGATTAGTGATGCGCCGCAATTGATCCCCAAGATCATCCACCAGACGTACATCAACGACAGTATACCGCTGCACTGGAAGGGCCCCCAGCAGAGCTGCCTGGACCTCCATCCCGACTACGAGTACAAGCTGTGGACCGACAAGAAGTCGCGCGAGTTTATCGCTCAAGAGTAGGCGCTCCCACGTCCATGTCACGCGAGGTTTTAGCTAACATCGTCAGATACCCATGGTTCCTCGAGACTTTCGACGGTTACCCCTACCCCATCCAGCGCGCCGATGCTATTCGCTACTTTGTCCTGCACCACTTTGGTGGAATCTACATTGACTTGGACGATGTACGTATGGCATGTCCTCTCAACTGTCGCAATGCTAACATTCTCAGGGATGCAACCGCAGTCTCGACCCTCTTCTTGCCTACCCAGCCTGGGTCCGCCGCACCATTCCCACTGGTATCTCCAACGATGCCATGGGCGCGGTCCCTCGTCACCCTTTCTTCCTCAAGGCCATCGACTCGCTGACCGACTACAACCGTCGCTGGCCACTCCCCTACATCACCGTCATGGCCTCCACCGGACCTCTCTTCCTCAGTCTTGTGTGGAGACATTACAACAACGCCGGCCCCATCGACCAGAACCGTGTGCGCATCCTGTTCCCCGAAGAATACAACAACCACCCCTGGAGTTTCTTCACCCACCATCTCGGAAATAGCTGGCACAGGACTGACGTGAAGATCATCTTCTGGCTCGCCAAGCACTGGCTCCTTGTCACTGTCTTCGGATTCGTTGTTGGATTCGCAATTCTCGGCATGTTGTACAAGTTCTTCGTTCTCAACAAGCGCACGACCGGACCTGGATCGCCAAAGATGCGCTACTTCAACCAAAGGATGCCCTTCTACCGTCGCATCAGCCAAAAACGAAGCTTCGAGCTCGACGACCGCCACGAAGTCTAATTGCACCATCCAGTCCGCGCATTGCATTGTTTCAGCGTTACGTCCGTTTACATGTCTTGCATTTATCCGGCGTTTTCCACCATCATCATCGCAGCCGCTTCGTATTTTCGCTTCTCCGTTACCCTACAACACTTTTTGTTCGCTTCTATCCACATTATTGATCGGGGGCTGCGTTGCCCTCCTAGCTTGTTTAACTGTTGTTTTCACTGTGGTCTTTCGACCGCAACCGGCGCTGTTGGTATACATGAAAAGGCTGGACCACTGTCGTTGTCAGAAGAGGGAGACTCTGGGTGGAATCCTCATAGAAAGGGAAAGGGCCAGACCGGGGCCGGACCGCGGAGGCATCAGGATGAAAGACCGAAGAGCTCGGCTTAGGGATGCGAAGTGTTGTTATCTAGATAGAAGAAGAAGCGTTATTGCTTATGTTAATATGAAATGTATTGAGCAATTATCATCCTGAAGTGGAAATAGTCCGTGACTTTTCATGCATGTGTCGAGTATGAGATGATGACTGTAGATAGCTCTCAACCAAAACAAAGATAACTAAACAGACCTCCCATTAAGAGGATCTTCCATGTTCAACTGCGACCACGAACGGTTGAGGAACTATGTCTTTCCGAGCTTTCCGAACGACATGCGAACACGCAAGTGTTGCCCCACTTGTTGCCATCGCCCGCATGTGATTGGCCTGCGCTGCCCTGGCATTCCCGCCTCGCTACTTCCCTCCCCTTGTCATCAAGCTTACTGTGTTCGTAACTATATCGCGACGTCGCGTGTGCCAGGGCAATGCTGGCATGGACGTTGCTAGTATTGCACGTCCAACATGGACTCAAGCGATGTTCAAGAGAAAGCGAAGTTTGTTTACTTTTTCGATATGGAGAGATCGGCAGATTGTCGTGGCCACTGCGCGGCTTTGGGATGGATGACGTGGGTACGTCGGGGAGGGAAGGCGGAGAAGCGGTGGAGGTTCTTTGCAGTGGTAATACAGCAGAAGAGTAGATCTATCTATACCTCGTAAAATGCGTGGTTGTCTTTGGTGCTGGTAATCGAGGCTGTATCTTGGTGCGCGGGATGATCATGGTAGATCTCAGATCAGCTGGGTAACGCGCCGGCATCGACCTCCGACTCCACAACTCTTCCCGAAATACCCAAGCCTCAAGGATCTACATCCAGGTAATGGCTGTGTCCCTGGAACGAATGCAGCATCGCATGCACTTTATCAAGCATCAACAACGCCAGATCGACATGTGTTGCCATGGCCACTACGCAGCGGCCAATGACGCGAGTCCGCCACTTCCGTAACCGTTGCAGGCCTTCCGTCATCGCTCGGCCCTGCGCAATCAAGCAGCCAATTCAGGCTTGAAGCTCCCAATGTTGGAAACACCGTTTCTCCAAGTTTAGGAACTTGACAGCCGGTATCCGTCCGTCTGGATCCACTTCGCTCCCATATCCTGTTCTCGTACCTGACGTCGCTTTCTCCTTTCTGCTCATCAACTTCGATGGATGGGACTTGAGTGATTACTACTTTCACAACTACACCGACTCAACCCGAATCACACTGATACACGCTTTCTGTGTCGAATACTAGAACCTCGATTACCTCCGGTCGCCACTTCACAATGGTCGGAGCTACAATCCAATTGCGCGAGGGCGCCGAGCTCGTCGGCGAACACGGCTACCGGTATCTTCTCGTGAAGCCACTCGGTCAGGCCAATGTATGGGTAGCTGTCGACGCAGCTTCTCAATCGAAGATCTACATCGTGAAGCAACCCGGAGACGATGACGTCGGTTTTGGATGGCCAAAGTTCCAACACGAGATGATCATGCACGAGCTCCTCAAGGGCATTCCAACAATCCGACAACAAGTGGACCGCATCCCACCATCCGCTAGAGGCGAACCGCCCCGAATCGTGCTCGAGATCCTCCAATCGACTCTCTGGGATGCGCGCAAGAAGCGCCAATTCAGCGATGTGGAACTCAAGGGTATCATGCGCTCGGCGCTGATGGGCTTGCGGGATGTGCATCAACGAGGCTTGGTGTATGCGGGTGAGCCTCTACACACACGACTACGATGACAAGGAAAAGCTAACCTCATCCAGACCTGAAGATGCAGAACATCCTCCTAAGCGGCTTCGAAGACGAACCCAACAAAAAGGCCTCCGTCGGCGACGACCGCATCACCGCCAAACTCGGAGACCTAGGAATCGTCATGGAGCCAGCCAAAGGCCTAGTCCAACCCATCGTATACCGCGCCCCCGAAGTCTACTTCCGCAACGAAATCAACCAGCCAGCCGACATCTGGTCCTGGGGCGTCATCTACTGCCAGCTCCTCGAAGCGCAGGCCTCCTTCAACAAATACGGCATCTACGATGAGCTCCTCCAAGGCAACACCGGTCAAGGCCAGAAAGAGCGTTCCGTCGAACGAGCTATAGCACACGACTTCGGGCTTGGCGCCTTGGACTACTACGACGGCTGCAGACTCCCATACCACGACCGCTCCCACCACGAAGGACAACACTGGGAGAGGCTGCTGGAGAAGGGTGTCCCGGAGAAGGAAATCAAGTTCCTAAGCTGGGTCCTGAACCCGGTTCCTACGGATAGGCCTACGGCGCAGCAGATTCTGGATGCAGGCTGGTTCACCATGGATACGGCGAAGACGAGTAAGATTGCTGAGAAACTGGAGAAGTCGGCGCAGGATAGTCGACGGAGGAATCTGCAGAGGAAACGCAGTGAACCGCTCTTATCCACGTTTTCCGCGTCTACACAGCAGCCATCTGGATTATACACCCGCGAGCAACCCACTTCCTTCAGGAACACCACAGCCTCAAATACGAATACAAATTCGGCAAATTGGGCTCCGGCTGGCATGCCATGGCACCCGCAATCTAGCCAATCTTACAGCCACGCGCCGTCATCACAACCATTATCTCAACAACAGCAACAGTCCTCTCCAGCACAAGGTGGTCCGCCGTACCAACCCATGTCCTTCAAACCCGTCACGGTCCAAGCGAAGGAGGAATTGGAACACAAGGCTAGGCCGGCTACGCCGAGGAGTGCGACGCAGAAACCGAGTGGGAGTACGTTTTTGAACTTTGGGAGTTTTATGCGGTAGGCATGGGGTGGGGGGATGGAGGGAGGGAGAGAGGAGAGGGGATGGAGCGAGAGGGGATGGAGCGAGAGGGGATGGAGCGAGAGGGGATGGAGCGAGAGGGGAGGAACGGTGGTGAGGTGATGGGGTGCGTTAGGCCTGCAGCTTACATCAAGTTCACACCACGCAAAGTAGTCGACTCAACGCCAACGTAGGCTCTAGGGTTAGTAGAGTTTTAGTTGTAATGATATTGTTTATTGTTCTGGGAAAGGAATGTGATGATGGGGAGTTTAGTAAAATGAAGTGGGCATAGATATGAGGTGTTGTGAGATCCCCTGGTGATGCGTCTATCCCACAACTTACGCTGGTGGGTGTGTTGTAAACTGCCTAGAGGGTTTGAGGGATAGGAGAAGGTGTTGCTGTTTCTGCCCCGAGGTTATTAGTTTCAGAGTTAGCTTTTAGTCTTTTAGGTTGTTAGTTAGGTTAGGCTGTCAAGAAATTAGTTATGCTGTTTGTTAGTCAGGTTGATATTCAGTAAATTGGTCGGTTCGTAGACCTTATAATAGATATTTCGTGGAGGACTACAACGTGGTTATACATTCGTCCATACCTCTTCTTAAACGCATTTCCCGTAATTGAGAAACCTACTCTTCGCGATGCCTTCCACTTCATACAAAGACCACCCTACCTCCCATTCGTCATCCTGGTACCAGCGCTCCGCAAGTTCATCCCCGTGTTTCGCGCGTCCAATTTCCTGAAAAAAGCTGTGCAGTTCCTTCCCAGGGCGCCATTTTCCTACCGCCCATTCTAATTGCCGAGTTGGTCTGGCATTGATAGAGGACCAGGGTTCAGCGTATTCAATACTCCATATCACATTTAGGTCACGTTGACTACCCATCGGCCGCTCCGGGTACACATCTTGCCCCTGTATGGGTGACCATATTACTGCTTCCTTGAGCGCCGGCATTTGTATCGCTGATCTTGCAAAGCGTTCGAGCAGTAGGATGAGATTGGCATGAGGAGCAACCCGGAACTCTTGGTTATCATGACAACGTATCTGTCTTCCGGCCCGAATGTAATCTTCATAAAACTCATCCATTTCCTCATCGAGCTGCGTATGAGTATAGGGTGGGTAGGAATCGTCTGTGACAGGGAGACCGCGTGCAACGTCGCCTTGGCCGTCGGAGCCTTGGAAATACCATGTTCCATCGGGACGGGCGTTGTGAAACATGAGATCAAGTAGTTCGAGGTGTGGCCATGGAGTATGTGATGTTGCGGAGTGCTGTGGCGATAGTGCGGGGAAGATGCTCTCGTCAATCATAGCCCGTAGTTGCCTAGATGTACGAGTCAGCGTATTCGTCTCATATCCGTTTGTGTATGCGTGAGTGACTTACAGGTGGCGGAGGTTGTTGCACAAGATACCGAGGCTCGTCGAGAAAGGGTCGTGAGTAAGGTCGCTACCTACAAGATCTGGGAAAAGCGTTCCGTGATCATAGTCAGTCACCCGACTTAAGGGGTATAGAAAATCGAGCGTAGCTCGCCTCAGCGTTTTGGGTAGCTTGTCGACACGGCTGGTAACTGCGGCAGCGAAATCATGTCGGGCATCTCGTCGCGGTCCTGCCCAGTCGTGCTCGTAGTGTCCACTACACGGATCTTCCTCTTCATCCAGGGTTTCGCACCATTCGTACCCTCCGGTTCGGGTACCCAGATATTCTAGATTGGGCATGCTGGTCGCTAGGTCGATGAGAACCCGCAGGTCGAGCTTCGATTCCTGCATCTCGGAATAATTGTATCGAAGGCAATACGTATATGCATATTGGTCCCAGGGAGGGTACGAGTACGAGTACCCTTTCCTGTCGTTACTAACGATTCTGAACGATCGGATGGACGCGATGGGAGGCAAGTCCTTTGCTAGTAGCCGGACGCGCCAGCTGGTCATATAGCGATGGGGGCATGCATCTTCGTTTTCCGTTCTTCTTATCGGGTTGTAGATCGTGAGTCGATACCTGCCCGGAGCGTGGTATTTTCCGGCCTGCTTCTCGACTCGTTGAAGGATGTCGAACAGGAATTGCATCTGGCGGGTGAATGACTCGTCTCTCTCGCGCACCTCGTCAGCACTCTCTCGACAAAATACCCGATCGTCATCTTCATCAACGTCGTCATCATCATCATCGTCAACGCTGCCGTCGTCATCATCGTCGTTGCCCTTTAAGTCGTACGTCGCCGAGACATCTGGTCGGAACGTTACCTCTCTCAGATAGAGGAGGCGATGACCAGAGAAGCGCATGAGGAAGTCGGCTGAGTTGCTTTCAGTAACTGCGAATTCAGCAAAAGCCCCAGAGAGTCTTTCTGCTGCGTAGCGGAACTTGCTAGTTAGAGTGAGAACACTGCGCAATTCTTCCCTAGGCAGAAAGCTAGAGATCCTTTCGATGAGCTCTTGTGGGAGTTGGTTCATGATGGCGTGAGTATATGACAGACAATATGAGTGAAGGTGATGAGTAATATTTGGCGGTTGACTGAGTGCGATGCTGGGGAGCGATCAAACTTCTATGATGAGACTGCGGAGATGATGACGGGAGATTGCTGTACTTGAGGAAGGTGCGCGTGGCAGAGTTCTGGGCTGACTTGCGGCGTAGTCGCAACATGCGGCTAATTCGGAACATTCCGAAACATTCCGGGCGCTACAGTGGCGCTAAGCAAGGAACAGCTGGCTCCTTCCTACCCATCACTCGTCGCATCAATCGTCGCTGAACTCGCGCGGAGGTAAGGCAGTGGTAATAGGTCATGCTCACAGCAATACGTTAGTTTGAGTATTCTATTAGAGAACAGTGATAGACCCGTGATAGGCGAGGAATAGGAAAGAGTGGCGAAAGAGCATGGTGACGCTGTCACGACTGCCCAAAATAAAAAACGAGTGAGATAAACACAGTCATGACTCCAGTACAAACTCTCTGACAAAACATTCCCCAACGCCACATGCAGTTGCTATTCAAGGACCAGCCCCCAATCCAACTGCCAAGCTTTCATCATCACCAATCGGTACAACCCCTGTCTTAAGTTCCTTCTCAGACTTGATCTTGGCCCAGCCCTCCTTGGTATTTCTAGTCAGCCTCTTCCTCTCCTGGGTCCTGTTCATCCTTTGCTTTCCAGTTTGTCGGCTTCTTCCAGTCTTTGACCTTGTCCCATTCATTTCCAGCCTTCTTAATGAGAGCCAGCATGTCCTTCTGTTCCTGTTCCAGCTCTTTTTTCCTGTTTTCTTTCGCATGAGCATTGCCAACGAAGTCCTTGGACACCTCGGTTTTCTTGGAAGACTCCCATTCAGCTTTGAGACTGTCGAGATGAAGTTCCATGAAATCCGCAGCTCTCTTCTTTGCCACCGCAACAACATTGTCCATGTACGCATCCCATTTATCTTCCAACCCTTGCTCCTGCCACGGAAGCGCGTCAACAGGCTCCTTCAAATTGTTAAACCGCGTTGGAACATATTGTCGCGGCGTTCTGTGTAGCTCTCGGTCAATGTGACCTATCATCGCTCCGATCCTATTTTTCTGATTTGCGAATGTCTTCGCGATCGTGTCTTCTTGCATATATTTGAAAGTGCCAGTCATCGGTCGCAACCTCTGGATAGCCAGGCGAGATTGGTCTCTTGGACTCAGTGAGCGGTAATTTCTTTCTGTGGTACGCCCCTCGATGAGCGCTTGCATTCTGTCTTTGGCAACAATATCCTCGTACTCGCCGCTGTTGGTCTTATCCTGTATGAATAACTGTAAAGAACTTTGTCAACACGGTTCATATGTTTTAACATCAATCTTGTGAGGGGTATACATACCCGAGCCTTATAATTGCCATTGATACGCTTTTCCAGCAGTGGCATTTCCTCTAACCATTTCTCCTCGCCACCTTCTCGGTATGGATACACAATCGCTAGCCAATGAACAGGAACAAGTTGTCCGGTACTTAGGTCGGTGATATCGGTTGGGTCAGGGGCAGCGTCTGCATCGGGGGACACAGCTGGATCGGCAGATGGACCGTCAATAAGATTGAGTTTGTAAGTCCAGTGCTCACTCCAGTACTTGCAGAAACCGACCATCTCGTTTGTCGTGGGATTAGGATGATGGTATTTGGTTTCGATTTCTTTGTCCACGGTATTGAAGAACTCGACAACCGTTTGCCATTCCAGGACGTGCTCAGTCTCATAGAGGACATTTGCACTGTCATCTGGCTTGTCCATACTGTAGTCGTCGCAAGAATCCCGTTCGTTGAATCCATATCTTTTGGGTAGTTGATCTCCCCAACTCCCCCTGCTTGGGTACAGGTAACTCTGTAGGGTGTAGTCACAAGCGGTACCGCGCTTACGATCGCGCTTCTCGAGCCCACGATATCTCAGGTCGATTGGATAGCTTCGTGGTAATATACCAGCTTCATCTACGACTTCATCTTTGTCTAGCGCTGCCAAATCTTTGCAGGACAGGGAGGAAGTTGCTCTTGAAGAGGAGGACGACAAAGTGGACGAAACAAGCGTTGTCGATGTGACTGGCGGAGTAGTCGAAGACACTGGCGACGGAGCCGAAGACGCGGTTACAGAAGACGACGCGGAAGTTGAAGAAGTCTTGGGAGAGACAGTCGTTTCCGCCGGTGAGATTTTGCTGCTAAGATGGTCGCTTGCGGTGGTCGGAGCTGGTTTGGCACTAGCCTTGGTCGTATCTCCATCTCCGTTCCCGCCGTTCCTCGTGCAGCGTGGACCTTTGCATCCTTTGCAGCCTTTCGCAGGACATGGTAGGTCATCGTAGTTCATCCCACCCGGGACAAGCTCGTCCGGGGCATCGACCAGAGGAGTAAAGACCTTCTTGATCAATTCTTCCCTGCTTGGTACCGGTGAGTCGCAGCCTGCCTGTCCCGCAAAGTCCGCACCACTGAGGAAGAAGTCGGCCCATTCTTGCGCAGCGTCTTGCGCTTCATGGGCGTACTTGTACGCCTTTGCTGATCGGATAGCGGCCACTACAGTGATCTTTTAGCGTCTGCTACTAAACAAAAGAGATGATTCTCGCTTACCCATGCCACCTGTGATGGCTCGTCCTGGTGGGGGAAGTGCTGCCATCCCAATGGCCATTACTACATCGAGGGCTTTCAACGCGGGACACAGAACCTTCTCGAGGATCTTGCCAGCTTCGATCAGTCCTTCAATAAAGAATTCGCCTGCAAATTCCAATATCGGAAGATCACAAGCGCAGTGGCCTGACTTAATCATCAAACCTACGTTCAGAGTTAGTCTCACAATTCTGTATTGCATAAGAGGCATATGCCTAGGGAGACATACCGTTGTACGTTTTGTCTTCACCGCACAGGAGGGGATGCAATCCACCTAACGGGTACCAGGGGTTGTCACCAAAGATGCAACTTTGAGAAGACACAACAATCTGGCCCTCTGCTGTGCTGTCACCTGGGATGCATACGTTCTTGCACTGCTCCTTCACATCATCCTCAATCCCGTCGGATCTCATGTGGCATCTAGTGTCCGATAGGTATTCGTCCAGCTTCTCCACGACTTTGGGGTCCTTTGTCTCTGCTAAGCCGTATGGATTGGACTGCTCGTATGCGATGGGATCGCAATTTTCCGCGAGAATGCATGCCGTCAGGCCGGCCAACAGACCGAGGGAAGCCTTCATGTTGGATCGTGGTACAGCAAAGACACAAATGAATGAAGATGGTGAGGTGCAGTTTGGATGGCTGTATCTTGCGCGTTCAACCCTAGTCTTATATACTCATATCGATTCTGGTCTTGAGTATACTTGGGAAGTACGCCCCCAAGATCTACTATTAGCATGAAGCAGTCTGATACAACCACGCCGTGAGGTCTGGCTATTCGGAGTGTCGATGAGCTGTCATTTTGGACCCGGCAGCCTGTGCCTCTGAGGCTCAGTGAACATTGCCGTTCAAAAATGTGACGGTACATGAGGTATGACGACTGCTGTAAGCTTCCCATTCCTGAAGGAACATCTTAGCCCCAGAACATGGTTGTCGTGGCAGAGACTCATACAACCCAGTTCCACTGTGCCGCTTGATGTTAGATGAAGCTGACAGACTCCTGAATGCATGGCACAGTCGAAGTATACGTCATGATAGAGCCATGGCAAGATTCCGTCGAGATGCGACTGGGAGACGAGATGGACTCTTGCAAATCGACGAACTCAAGTACCTATTGCCAAAGAAAGCCAGGCTAGATACGATGTATTTCGAATGGGCGGCATGTTCAGGCCTGCGCGAGATAGTCGAAGTCTTCACCAGGTAACGCGGTGCCAGTTTCCGGACGATAGTAGTGGTCTCTTTTGGTCGTGTCGGATTAAGCAGAGCCGAGAGGATTATGCGCTACCAATGACTTGCAAGGCTTACGGTGGTGAGGTAATTCAGCCCCACCATTGTTGGAATCGGACACCGAAACGTCGCTTATTTCCAGCGAAACAACCGCGAATGCGACCAGGTCGCCAATAATGGTGTTACTCAAATTGCGGCATTGTCGCGGATCGCAAACGCCGCTCACGAAGGCTGCTCGTCGATAGCTCCGCCTCGATCTTACACGGAATCACACTTTACCGGCGTCACCGACGTCACCAGAGATAAGAACAACAAAACATCTTGAATCTGGAACGTGAGCTCTGCATCTACATGGCACTAACAGCAATATTCGTTCATTCTGCTCGCATGCTTTTCTCGTAGTCCAAATCCTACGACAACGAAGGAGTAATGCGGCCTGGGTCACCCTGGTGATCATCAAGCATCCAATTGCGAAGATTGCTGTAGTTGGAAGATCTGTACCCCTCCCCCCAGTGCTCGACCAGATCATTACCGTGCTTCTCTCGCCCAATGTTCTGGAAAAGACGGCGCAGCTCCGCATCTGGACGCCATGCTGCCACCATCCACACTAGGCAACGTATCGTTGGATCGTCGTTTCTTTGTTGACTTGGGAGATAGTGCGATGGTGACCCCCAGATACCATTGTCTTGATCGGAATATTGTATAGCCCAGTTAGACCTCCAGTTAGACCCAGGTCCTTGATATTCCGAGTCCCAGCCTTGGGACTCTGCGTAGTCATATTTCGGATACCAATTCAGCGATGTCCAGATGATAGCTCTCCTCAAAGAGCACATTTGCGCTGCTGCACCAACTAGATTAGGTAAAGGCCTGTCTTGAATAGTGTCAAGTGCGCGTATCAGCGGGCTGACGAAATCCAGGCTCGCCCGCTGAAGCGAGGTCGGAAGCTGGGTTTGGTGAGAGATGACAGCGTGTGCGAAATTGTGCCTCGCATCACGACGTGGGCCATCCCAATCGCTTTGGAAGTGTCTGTTGGGGTCTTCACTACCATCATTACCTGAAAATGCAGGAGCCCATTCGAACCCTCCTGTCTTGCAGCCGAGATACTCCAGGTTTGGAAGCTTCGATACCAGATCGACCATGACCCCCAAGTCCAGTTTGAACAATCCACCATCGAAACACTTTCTGTAATTTGCAGGATAACCGTGACTATCGTGGTAAACACTCGCGTCTTCTGGGCATTCGTTGCAAATCTCCAGCGAACGAACTGAATGTACCAGGGGAAGCTCCGCATTGAGCAGACGAATGCGCCAACTGATGTATTCCTGGTGAGGACAGTATATCTCCACATGAATCAGCCTGGAGGGGTCGTGTATCTGGATTCGATATCGACCAGAGGCATGCTGGGGTGCAGCATTCTCCTCAACAGTACTGAGCGTTGTGAACAGCGAATGGACCTGACGCGTGAAGCACTCATTTTTGGCTCTGATTGCATCGGCGTTTTCGCGACACATCTCGTCTTCCCAGGGCCAGGGGTCGGGGGGCCAAATTGGAGGGAAGTTGGGGCGAAAGTGCAATTCCCGCAAGTAAAGCAGCCGGTGTCCTGAGTAAAGCCCAAGGAACTTGTCCGCGTTACGCTCATTTAGGGTAAACTCTGTGAAAGCGCCAGAATATCTCTCCGCGGCATAACGAAACTTTGTGGAGACAGTTAGAACGTTCTTGAGATCGTCCGTGGGCAGGTGTTTGGTGATTTCCTCGACGAGTTCTTGCGGCAACCGATCCATGTCAAGCTAGCGACTCTAATGGGCTGACTGAAAATGCCGTGTTTTCCGCGAGCGTTCGATTTGTGGACAGGTGTGTAGTTGCAGGTAGACGTCGAGGGGATGGGAGCAGAGTGATAGCGAGCTGAGCGTGTATTGTTGGGGGCGCGGTTGCGGCGCGGTTGCTGTGATGCACGTAGGCCCCAAGCCCTATTAATGGAAGCACATTCCGAACATTCCGAGGCGTTCCGAGCGAGAAGACAGACTGCAACAACGCCGATGCGTCACGGATATCGTGAGAATTGGCCCGCTTGGATGTATAGAGTTTGTTAAGTATATTTGGACGAGGAGTGGAGCCGTAAGAGTGTGGAATATGAGTCGGGATACAACATGACGGGAAACCCTCTCCCAGTGAAGGTTGATTAGTAGAGGCAAGGCGAGACGAATGGTGATGTCTTGAGCATCAGGCCAATCCAAGAAACAAAGTCGCCAGCTTTGAGAATGGAGAACAGGATACGTGTAATTCGCACGTCGTCTTGGCAGGGCTGATGCGTGAGGGAAATAAGTATAAACAGCGAATACGCAGTGGGTGTAGACTCAGTCGTACAGCGTGGAAGACGCCTCACATTGGGTGTCACTTCCTAGCGAACCTAGCCAAACTGTATGCATACCATTGAAGATAGTTGCGCGTAGAGTGGCATCATACTTAAGCCTTGATGAGATTGCGTGCTTTTTCGATGGTTGTAGTCCGTCAGTATCCGAGGATGTTGAAGACTGTTGGAATGGCTTCAAAGCAGTCCATTTCAAGGTACAGGCCGTGCAACGTGCGCAGTTGAGAAGTGTTCCACGTCTGTAAGCGCTGGCTGGAACGAGCATGCCGCTGGTGCAGGTGTTGTTATGGTGATGGCGTGGATGCTGGAAGTCACCGCAGGCGTCATGCCAAGGCGAGCTAACGCCATCCGGACTCCCTTCCACGCAGAACCATGGAACGCAGTAACATTAAATGCAAACACGTACGCATGCTGCACTTCTTTCTGCAGTTGCTGCTTCGGAGGCAATGAAGGTGAAGATGTGCAGCTACCTCTAAGTGTGCACGATGGGCAGAAGACGATCGCGCAGGTTCCACCTATCCTCGGCGATCTCTCTTATGATTGGTCCATTGCGTGCGCAACTTCCTTGCCAAAAAAGCCGCCCCAACGCATCCGCTGAACACGCTCGACATCGCCGCCCACCTAAACCTTTTCCATCGCCAAACAGCACCCCAACACCTCATTTCATCACTTTCGACGCGATAAAACGCATGCGGAAGTCCGTGCGACACTTTTGACACCCATATCGACAATATTGCGACGCGTTGGTGGTCGGATCGCGCTTCTGGGAGCGTGACTCCTCTCTTCGCTGGCTGGCCCCCGGCGCCAGATTTGCAACCAAAGCCCCATACGCAGCCCAAACCGTCGTCACGTGCATAACGACAAACAACAATGACGGCTCGCGCGACCGGACAACGCTTCAGACAGCGCAAGCTATCGACAAAACAGAATTTACCTGTCGTGCGCGAACAAGATGTTGAGCAGCTTGCTGATGACGATGCGTCGCGCCATATTCCCAAGGTTGAGACCGGTGTTGAGAAGGGCGAGGAGATTGTAAGTCGCGCTAGGCCGCTTTCGGCTTTCCCTTTCCCTTACCCACCACATACTAACATCATGTTTAGGAGCACCATTTACAAGCTGTCATATCCGCCGCCCAGGCAGCAGCGCAGGGAGCGACTGGTGGGAAGATCGCACAGCTCTACATCCCGACTCCGGATGCTGTCGCGAGTACACTGCAGTATGAAGATGTCTATCCAAAACGATTCACGCAGCCCGCCACTTACATTCGATTTTCGTCTACCGTCGAAGATACATCTGGCTGTCCGTATTGCATGACCAGTGATGATGTCGCCTTTCTCAAGTCTTACAACCAAAAGAAGGGCAAAACCAACCACTGCTCAGAAGACGAGTTTGAAGAGGTGATCAACTTCTTCGAAGAGACCACCGCGATAAAACAACCGTATGCAGCCGTCGACAACTCGCCTGTTCTTTCTTACGAGGAATTCGAAGCAGAGTTCGATGAGACCATCAGCGAGTCGGCGCGTCGGTTCGCACGAGATATTTACCCACATTGGAAGAACCAACGGCTACTGAAAGGCAACCGCCCGCTCATGCCCTCATTGAAGTTCGAGACGAACCTCGAGACCGATGATGCTGATCCGTATGTTTGCTTCAGGCGACGTGAGGTGCGGCAAGTCCGTAAGACGCGTGGTCGCGACGCGCAAGTAACCGAGAAGCTGAAGAAGCTGAGGAAGGAACTGGAGGAGGCACGTCTGTTGATGTCGCAAGTCAAACGGCGAGAGGCAATCCAAAGAGAACAACTCGCGACGGACAAGCTGATCTTCGAACAACGGCATGCTGTCAAGGAGCTTAAGCGACGACTCAGTATCAAGGGTGATGACGATGAGCTGCTCATCACTCAGAAGGTATGTCGCAATAAACTCACCAGAGCATTTGCACAGATGACTAACCCACCACAGCCTGCGCCCAAGCCTAAGAGAACTGCCG